TGACTCATCCAGCCTGAAGAGATGATTCATCTCCACATAAGAAGTCACTTCATCCATCTGCACACTTCTTTCAAGATACAAAAAGGAGAAAAGCAGAATGAGAGACAAAGAGGGAAGAATCTTCACGGTCAACTTACATATTTTTCCATTAAAATGTAATAGCCCGCAAATTGACGATAAACGATCCTCAACTACCGCTCCGTTCCCCTCATTCTTTTCAGAAACTACTAAAGAGCGGATGAAGAGAGGGGTGGGTGTGAAGCCAGGAGAAAAGGGAGAGAAAAAAGGTAAAGTTGCACAAATCTAGGGAGAATAGAGAGCGTCAGAGAAGAGAGTGAGAATGACAGAGAGAATAAGGGAACAAGAGTGAGCTAACCATCAAGAGCGTTTGATTCCCTCCATAAAATGTTCCTTTTAAGAATACCCATGAAATTAGCTTGCTGAAAGAAAGCAATCTCAATCGATTCAATCCCCTCTAAAAACTGCCACCATACCTCCAGTGCTTAAGAGTCTCTGTGGGACATAACAAGATAATCTCCTTTGTTCCCCCTAACCCTCTTTTTCTCCTCTCTGTCTTACTCTTTTTCAGTTTCCCTTTCACCTTACCTGCAATCTTTATATTGGCACACTGACAGAAAGAATAGATCTGTAAGTGCAGAACTAAAAAACGGAGGGCGATCCATACTTCTCAACGTGAGTTAGACCCTGTCACTACTCTGCCAGTAGTTCTTACTAAGCAGCACTCTTCACAAGGACCCAGAATATTATGTTTGCATATGTAAAGCCCTCTGTTGTGCAATTATTGAAAGACCGTTTAGTGATGTGACCTACACAGTGTCAAAATTGTTCCTCCGGGTAATATGTGAACTAAAAATGGGAATATGTTGTAGAATATGTGCTGAGGGATTCTTTGGATTGAACTTTTAACTAAGGTTGTATATCACATTCACAACGTTTTATTATGCATTTGCTTATTCAGCATTCTCACTACTTTATTGTTTTTAATTTGCCTTCATATAAAAATGAAAATCAGCTTTGGTTTTATTTACAACCAAAGAAGGTCACAGTGGCAGGACTACATCTGGTAGATTGAGAGGCTCTGCAGTGACTTCATTATACTGCATCTAAAATTGGTTTAACTATGCGCAAATCAGGAAAATATGTTTCTTTAAGAGAAATGGAAAATAGATATGAGTGATAAATACAGTACATTTCCCTTCACCAGCAGCAGCAGCAGCAGCTGTGAGAGCTAACAGTATGCAAATCTAAGCTGTCTTTCATGCGAATTATCTGAATTAATTAACACTTTGAGAGCACAAATTGACAGCTCTCCAATAATCGAGATACTTTCTGGACTTTCCTAGAACTTTGCAACACACAAGGTAGCCCAGTTAAAGTAGAATTACAGAGGCACTTTGAAGCAGGTTGGCCTGAAGTTGTGCGGGGAGCCAGGAGCTGTCCCAGGGACTGAGTGTCGGACGGGGGGGAAACCAGGGCACGGAGAATCCCTGAAGGATTCCTGGAGGCCTGGAAACCTTGGTGAGGAGAAGAGAGGAACTTCTTAAAGCTAACTTATGCACTTTCAGGGATTAGAGAACAAAAGAAGCCAAAAGAAAAAGAGAAGGACAACTAAGTAAGGAAAAATAGTCGGACGTTCCTGAAAAGGAAGCGAGTAAGGTAGAGGGAAAAAGGATGAGTGAGGTGGTCGACCTTGTGAAGTGGTGGAAACAGTAGAAATAGATGCCCCACTTGTAGACACACTTTCTGTTGCTAGCTGACTGTCCTCAATGCACTGGGGTAGCTAACCTATATAGGCCTGCTCAACACTGCAGCATCTCCCACACACTCACAAACACACAGGAACACACACTCAGTCTCAGTCTCTCTCTCTGTCTCTGTCTCTCTCTCTCCCTCCTCTCTCTCCCTCTCACTATATCTGTCAAATACACAGGCGGGGAGGGGGGAGGATCAAATCAGGCCGCACATGATGCAGCTACTGCTGAGTTAAGTCACCTGTGCTGCTAGCCTGCTTGCTAGCGGGCAGCCAGCTGCTTCTCTAATTAAGAGTCCATCTACTGAAGAGCCCTGAGCATATGGAGGACACTATGGCAAGGAACTTGTTTCATAATAGAAAGCAATGCCATAGGGTTCAGTACTTCTATCCTAAAGTTGGACTCCCTGTGTTAGGAATAAAAGGTTTTAGTCCAGACAATACACTATGCATTGACGGAGTTTTGGGATACAACGATACCGCCAACATACTTCCAACACTCAGTGACAAGTTTGTTCAGTTAATAATCGCTTATTATTATCATTTTAATATTGACTTTCATCTCGACACTTAGTACATTTCTAATGGGCTATTATTGTATATCTGGTATGCTAATATCCACCTGCAGCTAGATGAGACACTTAGCACCACTACTTGAAATAACATGATTACCTGCAATTTAATCAAACCACTTCACCTCAGAGAAGTGATAGTTAAATTAATCTTCAAAGATTAAATACCTCTTTATATACAGTGTAAAAGGCAGCAAACTGATTTAAATCAATCAGAATGTCAGAAAAACAACTCCAGATCTAAGGCAGGTTATCAAACATGACATAATGATTCAGACAAAAACATTTGGACAAAGAGGTCAAACAAAGTGGTTCAAATAAATGCATCCTATCTGGCATCACCATACTTTGCCAAATGAAGCATACAAACAAACACACACACACACACACACACACACACACACACACACACACAGCAATATTGAATGAATTATAATGTCTGAGCCATAAATGCAACCCATGTATTTGACTGAAGTTATTTTGACACCTTTAACAGCATTTTTATTGACTTTGCTGTCCAAGGCCAGGACTAATGGCTGCTTCACAACACACACACACACACACACACACACACACACACACACACACACACACACACACACACACACACACACACACACACACACACACACACACACACACACACACACACACACACACACACACCACACACACACACACACACACACACACACACACACACACACACACACACACACACACACACACACACACACACTTAATGGGAAGACACACATCTAATGGACAGGCATACAAATGTGCACCCTAACACATAATGCACACACACAAGCCTGCACCTTTGCTTGCTGTAGCCTCCAGTACCGAGAACAACAGGCTATATTATGAGAAATGCATTAGTCAGTAATGGAGCACCATGTAGAAATGTATGGCTGTGTGTGTGTGTGTGTGTGTGTGTGTGTGTGTGTGTGTGTGTGTGTGTGTGTGTGGTGTGTGTGTGTGTGTGTGTGTGTGTGTGTGTGTGTGTGTGTGTGTGTGTGTGTGTGTGTGTGTGTGTGTGTGTGTGGGTGTGTGGGTGTGTGTGTGTGTGTGTGTGGGTGTGTGTGTGTGTGTGCGTGTGCGTGTGCGTGTGCGTGTGTGTGTGTGTGTGCGTGTGTGCGTGTGCGCATGTGTGTGTGTGTGTGCGTTAATGTTTGAGCATTTGTGATAAATGATTGAAAGAAAGAGACAGAGAGGGAACTTTAAAAGAAAAAACTGATAAAGGAATAATGAGGGCTGAGGTACAGTGAGTACCACCACTACACTGGAATGTTGGTGTCAACATTCACTATCTAAACCCTGTCTATTATCGGTCTTCTGGTCATACACAAGCTACAGGGTTATGGAGTAAGAATCATGAAACTGTGACACATGTCAAGATAAAATAGCTGCACTGGGAATCTGAAGTCAAAGAACACACTCCTTTCTTAATGTGGTTTCCAAGGGAGTCTGGCAAAAGTAGCTTTTGAAGGAACAACGTAATGTGGATGAAAATAATCCAAACTGCTCATTTAGTATAGTTTATTTTATAGAACAGTATGTGACTCTCCCCAGGGAACTACTCCATTGTAACACTGTGAGTAAGGTACATCAGGAAATGCACTTTTCTTTAAAGGGAATTATAAGCAGTCAGTGTGATATACCAGGCTTCAGCAAATCCACTGATCAAATGTGTAGCAAATACATGTAATTGCTCATAAGCATATCACATTCTTTGTCTTAATCTGTCTGCAGGTAAAATAACCTTAAGTAAGTGCCAATCATTTAAGTTCACAGTTGTGAAAAGGTTACTTGCTGTTCTGCAGAAGATACATGAACATCAACTGAGGAACGTTTTTTGATGATTCGTGCATTCATTTTTTATTTGACATTAAACATTATCCGTGTGCATGCGATGAGTAAGTCAGTGTGGGTATTGTGCACCAAGCTCAGACAATGATACAGCATTTCCACTTTTACAACAGTTCTTGCCAACTTTATACTCAGCAGGACTAAAGCTATGAAATGAACTTTAAGGGAAGTTGAAAAAAGTGTATTAAAAGAAAGGAACGAGGAACAGAGAAACAGATAAACAAAGGCAAAGCTCAGCTCCTGCTTCCGTTACAGGCGGCCATTTTTTGGCAGTCATCCATTAAATCTGCTGCGTTCCCATACTGTCAGCCCCTAGTGAAGCCAGAGAGGCCATGTCAACTGAGGGCTTGTTGAAAGCAGAACAACACCCTCCCTCAGCACTGTGGGACTTAGAGGAAGGAGGGGAGGAGCAGGTAGAGGACTATTATATGAATGTCACCGCAGTACAACATCCTTCGAATGAGTAAGATAGATTAAAGCTTTAGCTCAATGTGAGAAGATGCTTTTAAAGAGAAAAGAAGGAAAGAAGGGTCGGGAGGGGCAGCTGTGGTTCTGCATAAAGTACATTGCAACATATAGGATAACAAAGAAAGAGGATAGAGAAGGAAGGAGCTTGCAAGGAGGCTTTTGTTAGAATTGAGCTTCATTTAGCGATTGCAATCTTATGGATGCAGACGATCTCACACAAAGCACAATTCCAGTGTACGACATGTGGTGCAGAGAGCCTTCTTTGTGTGTTTGAGTCAGAGCCAAAAGGAGGGAGGGTGTGGGGTCTGTGCGTTTCTCACCTCTGGCCCCATGTGTTCCGTCTGTGTTGCGTGGTCAGTCATTTGGCAGTCTTTCATCTTCAGGGCAGCTTTGGCACTCTCCTGGGTACAAAACAAACACACACCCATCAAAGAAAGTAGACCATCAAACAAGAATAAATCAGAACAACTAAATGCTCTCCCAGCAGATGTATGCCTACACTCACATCTTGCTTCAAAAACTGATAAAGATCAGTATAAATCCTTTTATCTTGAAATGGTATTTTTCGTTTTTAACCAATCGCACTCAGCATGTCAGGGTCAACAATGCCCTCTCAGAGCCCCGGACCATTAGTACAGGAGCCCCCCAGGGTTGTGTGAGCTCCCCGGTCCTCTTCACACTGTACACAAACGACTATACGAGAATCCACCCGGAGAATTATATCATCAAATTCTCAGATGATACAGCCATCCTTGGCTTAATGCACAAAGGCAGCAGTTCATCGGCTTATCACTCTGAAATAGAGAGATTTGTGCAGTGGTGTGATTTTAACCATCTAGTGCTGAATGTGAAGAAGACTGAGGAGATGGTGTGGGACCCAAAGGCAGTGGGTGACCTTAGGCCGGTGGTTATCCACAATGAACCCATAACTCAGGTCAGCTCCTATAAGTACCTTGGTGTCCATTCTAGATAATACACTCAGCTGGAAGGCGCATGTTCAAGGTCTGTGCTCTAGACTTCAACAGCGATTGTACTTTCTGCGTCGACTCCGGGCTTTCGGAGTCGACCAGAAGTTCATGTTACTGTTCTATCATGCAGTGTTGGAGAGCATCATTAGGTATGGTATTACTGCCTGGTATGGTAACTTGACAGTGCAGTCAAAGTCACAGATCACTCGCCTGGTACAGACTGCTATGAAAATTATGGGGGTTAAAAAACACCCATCTCTCCAAAACATATACGAGCAGTCCATTATCAGACCGGCAAACAAAATTGTGTCTGATCCCACCCACATACTTCACCCAGAATTCCAGCTCCTACCTTCTGGTAGAAGATTCAGGGTTCGCAAGAGCAGGCTGAACCGCTATAAGCACTCATTCCTACCTATGTCGATTAAGCTTCTTAACATTCACATGAAATTAAATGTAGTCTAATGTAATGAAATGTACTTTTTAAATGTTGGCCATGAGGGGTAGTGCAATAGGTCGCCATTGTCAGTATGTGCGTCTGTGTATTGTGTTTGTTCAAACGGTGTATGACTGATGATATGTGTATGTCTCTTAATGTCCACTATGTTTGTATATGTACATGTATGCTGAACTGCAGGACGGAGTCCAGAACTAATTTCCTTACGGGGACAATAAAGTATATCGTATCGTATCGTATCGTACTCACACCACTTGGTTTGCAAACTATTCAAAATGAAAGAATAAAACTGCAACCCTATGAACCTCAACAAAGCTGAATCCTGCTCTCCACTCTGCCACCTCTCCTGGAAATCCAAGTGGACGTAAAACTGGGCTGAATTGCAGCCAGAAATTGGAGCAGGGACTCTTCTCAAAGTGCACCAGTTGAGAAAAATTCATAAAATCTGACAGCTAGTATTGGCCAGACTGCTGGAAAGGTCCTTCTAGGGAGATAATTAATAGGTTTCCTCTGGCAGATTTACAGTGGGCGGTATAGAGAGAAAAGTGTTTGCCCTGTCCTTTAAAATACAGCACTGTTACCTTGACCAGGAACCTTCAGACTTGTCTGCTACCTCTGTGTGATTATTTTGAAAAGGCGGGTTGCGAGTCCCCTGAATGAAAAGAACCCAACACTATTTCCACCAGGAGCATTTTATGACAATGTAACTTATCATTCTGACATGCTCGCTTCACGCTGCTCATGGGACAGGAAACAAAAAAAGTTGAAAGGGATTATTAAATGTTGAGAAATGCGTTCACCTTGATTAAAAGGAACCACTCGAATTTGGACATGGTGAAAAGGAGGGTTAATAGTATGAAAAATGAAAGAAAGTCCATTTATATATCTCTAAACTCAAAACATATGGTCGTGTTTGAATCAGAAGCGAGTTGACAGATTGCGGTAAAAATCTGTTTTCATTAGTCATGCCCATGCCCACGTGAAAAGCAAAGGAGGCTTTTCATAGCTAAATGTTGCAGTTGGAGCACGGTCCTTCAACAAAATGCACCAGCAGAGAGAGGAGAGAACTCGTAAAAAGTGACAGCTAGTGATGGCCAGCCAGCAGGTCCTTCTAGGAGATAATTAATAGGTTTTCACTGGCAGATTTACAGACGGAGGCAGAGTGAGGAGAGCGCTGGATATGGGCTGCTCTTTCCTTCTAAATGCTGCACTTTAACTTCTCTGCGCCAGGCAACGTATTCCTTCTCTCACATATACACCCTCACAAGTATGCACAAGGACATCACAGTCCTACATTTAAAGCCTTGTTAGAATGACCTTTGTGCCAAGGACATAGAGAGCAGTTAAACATAAGGTTAGCAGTAAGGATACAGGCTTGCATTAGACAATTGATCAATATATACACAAATAGATATAGGCACACTTTTGTTTGTAAAAACATGAAAGCAGTACATGTTTGGAAATCCAATGCAGCCAGAACATCTCTGACAGAGTGCCAAACAGATGAACACACTCACACACACATTCAAGGCTGATTACCATCCGTTTTTGTTTGTGCATGCACAAGCATTGTGTTGCCAAAAGAGTGATTGATGGATCTTTGTGTTAATGTGGATGGGGGAGAAGTGGAGCGAAAATCAATAGAAAACTGCATCAAAATGAGGATAAGGCATGTCAATTTATGTATTTATGTTATAATCAAGTCCTAAACACTGATTGGATTGCACTAACAAGTATTTATGTGTCTTAGACTCCTAAGTTTTCCAAAAGACATTAAAAACACATCATTGAGCATTGCCTCTTCCTTACCATGAAAAGTTGTCCCTATAACAAATGCAATGTATACTATTGTAGTAATGCTTGCTAAAAAAAACAGGGCCTTGCTGTTTTAGGAGACAAACATGTCATCCTTGTTTCGAATTAAACTATATGTATTTTAAAAAATGTGCATCTTCAGCAGGATTGAAAAGGCTTGGAGCTGGGAATCCCAAAGTATCTGGAATTGTAATTGAATGTAAAATGTATTACAGATCAATATAGGCTGATGTGGTATAGGTGTTTTAGTGTGAGTTGACAGCATGTTCCATTGCCTGTAGACATTCATTTTAAATAGATTGTAACATGAACTGTTTAACAGTATCAATATATAAAATAAATCTCATTTCTGGGGTGAGTATTTAACAAGAGAAAAACTAAAGGTCTGAAAAGTGGAGTTACAAAAGACAAAAATGTCTTCTGGGGAACTACCTATGCCTCTACTGTAGCTGTCTGGGTGACAGTTTTAGTCAACAGGTGTGTCTGAGGTCTGAATAGAAATGTACTGAATGTTGGTATAAACTCCTCATTACGTGAACAGTGCTGAATACAGCCTATAGTGAGGAGTACTGTTAAGGGCTAATATATGTGATGCGAGCAAGAGAAAGTTATTAAACACACAAATGCCAAATGAGACTTAAGTCAGTCTGTTGGACTGGCATCTCTTGCAATAGCTCCATAGCACTGGCACATTATCTTGCAATGGCCTAGCATAATGTCTGCATTACTTTGCTTTGGCAGAACAGCTGACAAATTGTGTAGATGACAAATGATGAAAAACGTTTGCCGTATGGACAACATTTGCAGATGATCCAACAAGGGGATGACAAAAAAGTGAAAAGAAACACAGACAGCGCAATATATTAAGCATTTAAATCCCTATATTTCACAAGCATATTGTTTTTTTACAAATAATTAGATATGGAAATGATCCATGTTTCCCATCCCTGCCTACAGGGGTAATAGTTCGAAACATTATTCTTCTCTCTCTGCTGGACGTGAGTGCCAATTACAATTCTGCTATTACATTAAGCTTGGTGGGAACAAGCCGTTTACATTAACAAAGATGGAAAAGATGGGCCTTCTGGTGGCACGCCAGATAGTGTTTGAGCCAACTAAAGAACTATTTACAGATTCATTTCCTTTCTCCTTCCTGTCACTCCGCCCTCTGCTGTATGTACTCTCACACAGCAGAATATCAAAAGGAAAACTGACAAAGAGTTTGTCAGATTCTTTAACTAAAGTCAATATTTCCAGTTCTTTGAAATGTTGTTTAACTTTTCCAAAAAAAGAAGGATTTGTTTTTGCTTAAAAGGGAATGAAATATTGTGGTTCAAAGGCAATTAGTCTTTAATTTATACCCTATAACAAATAATTCAAACACATTCAAGCTGTTTTAATTATTAATTTTAAAGTTTGAAAGGCACCAAGAGAAATAAACTGTGACAGTTTGAATGAAATGTAAACCCTCCATTCCTCAATATTTGAGACTATGAGTTGCTTGTCTTAAAATGATGTGAAAAAGATTTAACATTATTTTGGAAAGTCATTTTACTCCACTGGATGTGTGTTTTAATGCCTCTTCAGTGCACAGGTTTTATACACATCTTCTTCAGAACCGTCTTCTGGCTGGCAACAGCTACAGTATGTTAAACAATGCTTTTATGCCAGGCAGAGAAAATGGAACTGTCCCTTCTTCTGCATTTGATAAAAATCATTTAACTAATCGGGTTCAGGATTTTAGAGAGCTATTAACTAAATACTAATGATGCATTTAAAACTCAAATAACTTTTCAAACCTTAATAGTACTCCAAAAATGTGGTAACATAATATAGTACTGCACTAGGTTGTTACTGCTGCTGTTTGTTGTTTGTTTGTTGTCTCTTCCTAGTCTATTTTTGTTTTGTGGGTTTTATTATGTTTTGTTGTTTTGTCCTTAATATGTTGGTATTGTCTCACCTTGTAACTTCACGAAAAATACTGATAATGGTTGGTTTTGCTTTTGCGCAATGAACTGAACACAAACTTGCCTGTTATTATTATATTGTGTATTTGCTGGATAGTGGATCTTACCAATTCACTGTGGAGTCTGAGGATCAGTTCATCTTTCTCTCTCAGTTGTTGCAACAAGGCCCCTTCTCTGCTGGGATCCTAAACACAAGCAACAAGACACCATGTTACACATTACTTAGGACACTGCAGACAGCAGTGATTTATCTTAGGGTCCATATTCCCGCAAAAGCAATACATAGAGCCTAAGAGGATGACAACATACAAAATGTGTTTGTGCCTGTGTGTGTGTGCGTTTCTCTGGCTGTCCCCATAAAAGTTAACGTTGGTTTTGCAAGTGTTTTATGTTCATTTATGAGCGTGTTTGTTGCTGTTCTTGCTAGTGCATGGCTAGGTGTCATAAAGTTGTCATGCATGCAGCATTGTGATCTCCTCTTCGCTCTACGTGTCTGCGATAAACTTGGTGTGTACCCCAGAGCACAAAGCACTTCAGTGTGACCTTGGGATGTCAGGGGACATTGCTTTGGGGACGATGGAGAGCAACAGGACAGGAGACCGGAGAAGAGGGGAATAATATAACTAATCAACTTTATTATTATGGCACCTTTCAAAGCAACAGCTATAAAACATCAACAAAATACATAATTATAAATAAATGTCATTATGAAAGTAAAATTATAAAATGAGTTTGACGTTTATGACTATAATTGTGCTATATGTTGAAAGGATAAGATATGTCTGAAAGGACACACTCCCACAATATAATGAGACTTGGCATTTCCTATCACCGGGCCTAAGGTGTAGCAAATACCGTCTATAAACTGTTTCACTTTGTTGAATGAGTTAATGTGTGTAAGAAGAGTAAAGGACAGGAGACAGGTAAGGACGGAGGTAAATGGAGAGGTCAACGTTCACAGACGGCATGATTTTAATTATCATTAGATCTAGATTTATGTATGTCCCTTTTTTTTCCCAGTGTATACACATTCATATTATCTTCATAATTGTTTAATTGTCAAAAATGTCCTCTTTTTATTTAATGTACTTATTTTCATTGTGTTGCAGTTGCACAACACAATCCTTTATCTTTCATTGTATTTGTTCCTTTTACAGGATTTGTAGTATTTTTTTTTACTTTTATTTTTTTTATTATATTTTTTATTATATCATAACTTAGTAATTTTTTTTAACATATGTAACATTAAGCTGTCTGTGGCTCTTTCCTGCTGTAACGATGCACATGTCCCCTCTGTGGGACTAATAAAGGTATACTGATTTCCATTTGATCTGTTAATGTGCATGGATATTGTGATGTCAACTTGGAAAATCCTCACAGGAGATCAAGGGGTTAAAAAGTCGGGCTGATTGACAGAGTGGCAGCTGTCTGAAATCAGTCTCTAATTGCTAATCAGCGTCGCTGCACCTTTAAAAGCAACGCACCTGAAAGAAGGGCAGTAATCAAAGCTGGAAAGGGACAAACTAAAGAGCGTGCGTCCAGCAGCAGCAACGAACCAGCAGAATAAACGTCGAAGAAGCAGCACTGGTGCAGCCATAAAAAGCTGGAGAAGCGGCCGGTGAGAGACGAACTGTGTGTTTAGTCAAGTCATACAACTTACCGTTCATGGCGCACGTTAGAACGTGCATTCTAGTTCAGTGTCATTTGTTTGTTTGATGTCCTCAAGCTAAAGCAACATGATTGTTGATTTAAAAACGAGTGTGTTTTGTTTATTGAGATATGTAGATTGGTAAAAACGGTTTGCATGCTGCTAAGAATTCAGTATTATATTTGCATTTTTAATGAGACTGCATAAGTTAAAAACTGTTTAAAACATAATTCATAAAAATACATTAAGAAAGTAAGAACAATATTCAGAAGTGTTAAAAAGTATATGTAAAGCATGTATTTTTTCATTTATTATTTGATGTGCATTGTATTTACAGTAATTATTTTTTATTTTTCATTTAAGGTTTTTTACCTTACAACTTACAACCTTACAACCTTACAACATAAGCTGTACTGCAACAACAAATACCAAAGTAAAGAAGAACTCAAAAGAAACAAAGTTGTGGCCATTGTACGAGTGAAACCCAGTGAAAACCTCCTATGGACTGTACCATCCCTTTCAAGCGGGGAAAACTGCAAATATACCCAAGGGCTTGACGGTAAAAAACCGGGGCTGTAAGCTGGAACAGTGAAAACAGTGACCTGGAAAAAGATAAAATACCACCCTGCAAACAGTCAGTGGACCCAAATCCAACATGGCTGATCAAACAGTCAGGAAAACAGTTGAGCAGCTCAAAAATGAGCGGACTGCAGCAAAACGATCCTTCACACGACAAGCTAACAGTATCATCAGAACTCACGACGGCATGTCAGAAGACCAGCTCCAATATAGCTTCAATAAACTCTCCATGGGAGCCGACAAAGTCATGGAAACTGTAGAGTTATATTTGTATTTCATGTTAGCAAACTATGGATAAGCTTAAAATGGGAATAATTTGGGTAAAACTGAGCTGGATTTGGGGCCTGTTGACATGTGTTTTTGAGGACAAAGGAAGATGGGGGAAGGTGAGAGCATGTCCTGATTTGCATTCAACTTAGAACGAGCTACAGTGGTTTGTGATATTAAGAGAGGTCCCTTGGGTTTCTCTGGTGGTTATCAACAGTAGCAGTTAAGTGAATACTGTTCAAACAATACCTGTGTTTGTGTTTTATATTGATTTCTCTGTTTTATCCTTTCATAAATGTAAGGACTACAAATGGCTATAAACATTCTGGGCTGGTTGGAGTAAACAGGGTTTTATTGCTCTGTGGGGGAGGTGTAGGTATGCAGGCCTTGAGACCTTTTGTTGGAAAGTGAGCCTGTTTGGTTTCCTGCTGGCCTGCGTTGCGTCTCCCAATGAGATGACCTGAAAAGATGACCAGCTGACCTAACACCAAACCCCTCCTTCTTACTCTGGTATATATCCGGTGGATCCCTGGCGTTCGGCCTCTTCTTCACATGCTGCCCTCGGGTGAAAGTAGCTCTGCAGTATGCGAACCGGGGCAGGAGTAAGCCGGCATTACTCCTTAAGCATTACAATATAACTGTAATATATCATGTTGTATTGTAATGATTGTATTGCATTGTCATATTGTCATTAAAGTAGATTATTGTTAACGGTTACTTTGTAGATATGGATTCCTTCCTGTATTATAACCAGCTTCATAGGAACGCGCGGAGATTTGAAAAGCGGACCAGTTATCCCTCCAAATCCCCAACAAAATGGTGACCCGACGTCTATAACGAAGCTGAGGAAGAATTCAGACGCTTTCAAACATCTCAGACAATCAGCAGGACTCTGCAACTTTGCAAATAAGGTAAGCAGACGATGAAAGTCGCCTGTCTGTAATTGGATACGCTAAAACTTTAGGATTGTCTGTAGGCGTTTCACAGTGTTTTTATGGTTTAAATGGAATATACAATGCATATTTTACTATGTTAGGAAAGTTATATACAAAACGTAAACGTTGATCGACAGGTAGACGAAAGTCCTGCGTGACGTAAAATAGAGCAGTTTGGCGCGGATCTGCAGGTAGTTTATTCCTGAGTGGCGTAGAGATGGTGCAGTTTGTGTGAATGCGAGGTTTGAATCCTGCACGGCAAAACCTGAAAACTCGATAAATCAGATCGAGTCGCCGTTTAAAACTGGGGTTTAAATAACAGACCAATGCTAAAAGCTTAAAGCCAGAGGTCTGTTATATATTAAACCAAGGTAGAGCGTTTCCCTTTGTCTGGAAACTTCTGCTGCTGCCATCTAGTGGCTGAAAGGGGGTATCACACCCTTGAAACTTCTGCTGCTGCCATCTAGTGGCTGAAAGGGGGTATCACACCCTTGAAACTTCTGCTGCTGCCATCTAGTGGCTGAAAGGGGGTATCACACCCTTGAAACTTATGCGAGCTTAGAGTTTAATCATTACATTGCTGGCCGGTATTGAAGACGGGAAGCACGTTCCCAGTATATTAATTATAACTGATTTTGGTAAACTGGTACAAAACAATAAGGGATTGAACATTTTTTACAACGACAGCACCAGGAGATGAGTAAACTCAAGAATCTGTAGTGTAAATACATTGTGCAAAACACATTTTACACTCGAACTGTTTGCAAATGTAGACAATATAAATAAATGTTCAGAAAGAAGACATAGGCCTACACTTGATTCAAATTTCATTACTGTGATCCGATTGGTGTGCTCTGCAGGTTTACTATTGTTCGAAGTAACAGTGGGATGTAAAATGAGAGAAGATATGGAGATGTTCTTTCATAGTGTGTGGAATATGTGATGCTGGAAACATGTAAGTATTTCAGAGTTGTGTTGGGTAAATATGTAACAATGGATGAAACAATTTTTGGAGTGAGTTTTTGTAATATCATAAGTAGACATTAATTATGTTGTTTAGATGGCATTTAACAACTAAGACAGATAGTATGATTAGAAAGAGACAGAGTGGAAAGGGTTGGATTTATTTAACATCAGTGTGCTAGACTTCTTATAGGTAATGTGTACCGGGACCTGGACTCCCCCTCTGAGTTAGAAAGGCTTTGATCCCGACCCTCCAAGCAGACAACGAGACCTAACCCAACAGGAGACTCCTCCTTCTCCATCGTACAGACAGAGAACCAGAGCTGAACCAACAACAACAACAAGACTACATCAAGACTGCAGCCAGAACTATCTCCACCTTTGGCATCCAGAACCAAACCAGCATGCTGACATACAGAGAGATACTCTCATCGGTCCCTCAAACAGGACATGAAGTTCCAAACTGCGCCGCGAGATTTGGCACAATAGACATGAGAGCAGAATCCGCCCTCCATAAAAACAGCAGAGAGACTGTAAAGGAGGAGTGCAACAACAGTGGCATGATGGGGCTGCAGATGTGACTGGGCCAATGGCTGCCTACAAAAGTTACAGTGGATGGATTCAACAGCTGATGGACTGAAGAGAAGACAGAATCAGAGGAGTTGGCATGGTCGATTAGAAGTGAGGAGGCCGGGGTCACGGCTTGAGAAAACCAGGGGAGGAGGAAAGGAGAACGGGAATGAGTGAGTTACACATAAACACACTTATTCACGAAACGCACATTTAAATAACT